TGCCCTCTCCCCTTGAGGCCAGCATTCACCTCAGCATCTGCACAGCCCCAGGAGAAAGCTCTCCTCCTGGCCTAGCCAGACTAAACTGCTCCAATATTGAGAAAATAAAAAATAAAAAGCCACTTAGAAATCCATTTTAGATTTGTTTGCATTACTTTAAAGGGTTTGCTATATATTTGGATGAAAGAAGCCCATTAAGTACATCTATATTTACTTCATTACAGCGTGGCTCTTGAAGTTAGATGAAAAGATTTACCCTGGCCACGTTTGTTTATTCATCAACATCAGCTAGATATATTTTCAAAGGCTCATCCTCATTGCATTTACATGAAAGCACACAGATTTTTTTTTTCCAACAGTTGAACGGCATTCTGAGAGGTATGAAAGGGCAAAAGAAACTTTAGTGAGAATTACAAAATCAAGGAACGGTAGATGCACAATTTCTGCTTATCAGTGGAGGTGGAAACCCACTCTTTCCCACCCGGAGTCATTCTTCCCAGCCTGCAGATGTATCAACAGCAACAAGCTGCAGCTGGATGCTCAGTGCCCCTGACTCAAGCCCCCATAAAGGCACCTGGCACAAACACCACGAGGGAAGCATTAACCCCTCCTGAAGCTCAAGATCTTAAGCAAACATAGCCCCCCAAGTTTCTGAAGTTTTTCTCTGTGCTTTGACAAGAAAAATTAGGAGTTTTGTTCCCCCCCAGGTGGCATTGAAGATGAGCTCTTCATTACTGCTAGCAAAGTATGAAGCAGAAGCAAAGCCTATCAATGACTGAGGCCAACTGTACAAGTCCCATTATCTTGGACAGGAACCCAAACATAACTTGGTACTTGCATGCCTTTATTATCAAAACTTTATCCTCAATTTATTTAAATATTTAAATGACATTTATGGGCACTATCTTTCCTCATGAGTTTACACTTTCCCACGGAAGACTTCCAGAGTGATTAACAATGCTGATCTTTATCCTTCACACTGACTATTCATTCATCCTTTCTAAACGAATACTGCTTACATACGACCCAAGAGGGCTGTAACAAGGCAGTATTTATCTACCCTAATAATCTGCTGTGCCTGCTTTAATTAAAACTGGGCTATATCACATCCATGAAGCACAGGCACACCTCCTGTCACTCGTCATCCACCTCACAGCTGTGCTGGGTGCACCTTCTCAGCGCAAGCTTTGGAGGTCCCACCACCCGCAGCCTGCCCACCCCTGCCCAGGTAACTGAGGGAACAGTGTTGCCAAAAAAACAGCTTCACCACAGAAGAGAAGCAGAATGAAACTGCAGAGGGGTTTGCACTTTGGGGCCTTGAAGGAGTACCTGAACACCTGCAGGCTGCCATTCACCCCAGTTCACAGGCAGGGCACCACTGCTGGCATGGCACATGGGGATTTTGGGAGGTGAGGGACCAGGGGAAGGAGTGACTGATGGAGAATCTCTGGCACAGCACAGCAATTCAGAGCATGAAGGGTACCAGGATGGAGATGGGGGAACCGCAACCAAGGACATCTCAACTACCTGCAGTAAACTGGCAGCCAAATCAGGATTCAGCTTCCTCATCTGTGTTGCAGCTTTCACGGGTCCTCCATGGGCCCACATGACTGCATAGTGATTTCAAAATTTAGAGTTTACTTCTCATAGTATTGCACAAATGAGTGTACACTGCTTGCCTTTCCACATTTCACTCCATACAAGCAGTATCTTATCATATGAACATTTACAAATGGACCATTTTCCCCTGGAAGAAACTTGAGCTTCTCCCCTCACCAGAACTTTTTTGGCATTATTATAGACAGTATAAGGCAGTAGCAGTACTGATGGCATCCCTGGGATGCTGGATGGGCAGCAAGCAGCCAGGGCAGTGTGCCTGCAAGCCACAGGCTGTGCAACCTGAGCCTCATCCAGCACCTCTCCCTGCTGGCTCCATGCAGGGCCTTACCTTCAGCAAACCCTAAATCATGGGAGGGGGCCACTCCATCTCAGCTTAGCAACCAGGGGAAAAGGGTGAGGGGCAGCCCTCTGCTCCCCTTCACCCTGCCTGGGCTCCCTCCCAGCCCCAGCACAACCAGCACACTCTGGGACACCTGCCCTCCCCACTGCTGCTCCAGGGCTGAGCTACCCTCGCATCCTCTGCCTGAAACCTGCCCCATTCTCAACACCTGGAAGCAGAGGCATTGCTGTAGGGGCATGGGTAGTGTTATTTGAATGATTTATTGTTTTAATTGTCACATGGTTTTGAGTCCTCTTGGTCTATTAATCTTATTCTTGCATTATATTTTACAGTTACAAACTCCATGGGTTTGGAACTACTTTGAAAAAGCTCCTCAGTTCTCTATCCCCACCCTTACTGGAAGTAAAATAACTGTCCTGTTCCAGCCATTGAACTCTGCAGCACTCCACCATGGGCATCAATGAGCTGATAAACTCATTTAACTCCTTTGTGTGTCAGTGAAGTTCTCAGTGCCCCAAGAAAGAGGATTCCTAAACTAAATGCCACTGCACATCCAACAAAAAAAACTTGATGGCTTTTCTTGTGGACTCCTCAGTGCTCCCTAAAATATAAATTAACTCTCAGATCATCCTTGTTTAGGACTTGGAATCCAGTTGCCACTTTCTGATCAATAGAACTGTAATAGTAGAATAAATTCAGAACTAAAGTTATCTGGTAGTAGCAATTTGTACACAATACATGATCTAAAGCCACATGCACTTCCAAATGCCTGGCAATGAGGCCTATGAGGAGCACTGTGCCTCAAAACACAATGGATTACCTGTTTCTTTTCCTCATTAAATGACATCTCATAAAAGGAACCAAACAAAAGATGGGTGAGTTTGATGACTGTCATGTCCCACAACTTTTACTCATTTGAGCAATGTGTTGCCTCCCGATCCGGTTCTCATTTGGAAGTTGCAGATCCTAATTGCTGACCTGAATATTGATTTTATGTTAATAAAAATCTGTGTTGAAACGCTGGTTAAGTATAAAATTGCTCTAGTACTTCAGGCCTGCATGGTGTTACACATGCTGTACTGTTTTCTTTTTCAATGAGTGCAAAAGACACTCACCCCTTACAGGAGATGCCCCACAGCCTGCAGAATTTGGCCTTTGTTAAATAAAGTAAGACCTGAATAAATCACTTTTCCAATTAGGAGAGGCAGTTTTGCAATAACGAAGTTGTGCACCTGAAAAATTTTTAAAAATGTAAAATAAAACCCCCTGGAATTTGAAATGTCTTGTTCTGTATCACCTAAGAGAAACACAATAACAAAGTACTTCCATTTACCTACTGGGTATCTTCAGCAGCGTTTCCTTCTACAAATTCTCTTAACAGACGCTGCTCCAATCATCATTTATCTGCAACACAGACAGACTTTGAGAGGACTAAGGAGGATTTGCCTCTGGTTTCACACAGCGTGCTTGTTTTTTGAAGTTTAATTTCATAAAATAAGAACTCTGGATAAAAGTTAATCAAGCACAGCTGCAAGGCTTCCTAGGTTGCTAGGAAGGGGGGAAATATTTTCTGCCAAGATTTTTTCTTTGCTCTTCCTCTGTCTCACTCCTTTTCTGCATTTATTGCTTAATGGCTTAGTATTATTTCAAAGGCCATTCCTTTCACAAATGTAATCAATTCGTGTATTCAGCACCACACAAGATACGTTACTCTCCTTATAACCAAATCTCTGAAGGATAGATGAGAAAGAAAGGTTAAAGAGCTCTGTCTTCAAAGTGCTATACTTCAGACACCTATAAATCACTACGTTTGTTTATCTAGCTAATTGCCCCATTAGCGCCCGTAGCATCTCAAGCTGCACAACTTTCTACTGTGCCCGTGGGTCAGTTTCTGTTTTCCCTCTCCGGAGCCCTGCGAGCCGCAAGCCCCGCGCAGCGCTCGGCGTCAGGGACAATCTGCGCTCG